GACTGAAACAGGCTCCAGGCTCTGAGCTGGCAGTCAGCACAGAGCCCAACGCGGGGCTCGAACCCACGAACCGCGAGATCATGACCTAAGCGAAAGTCGGACGCTTAACCGACTAAGCCACCCAGGCGCCCCTAGAGCCTCCTTTTCTTATTTGTAAAGTAGGGATTGTATTGCTACCTAACTCACAGGGCATCCAGCAGAAGGGTTGGCACTGAATAAAAACTCAGTAAATGTTAAATCTGACTGCCCCTTCCCCCACCAAAAATTGTCAGACAACCTGAGTTTGCATGTGTTAAAGCTGAAAGCAAAAGCCAAAATGTATTCTTCATAAAAGTAGGATATTCTAATTATTTGGGTTTTTTCATTTCTTCTTTTCTTTGTGTCTGAGAGGAAATTGTTCTGGCTTATTCCTTAGCTCAGGTTTCTAGTGAGAGTGGGTAAAGAATATACTCTTACTGTGGTGCAGAAATACATAATCACACACAGCAACTTGATTTGGAGTCTGTTTTGGTTGTTGGGTGATATTTATTATGGAGAAACACTAAAGAATTGTCTCTCATTGCTCCGTCACAGCCACTGAACTAAAAATGTGTCCTGCTCACAGACTGCTGCTTACCAGAGCCTTTGACTTCTCAGGGGTGGAGCAAATGATTTCCTTCTTGGACAGGGACAATCTGTGGCCAGTGTACAAGAGTTGCCATAGCAACCCCACAGCTACGCTCTGCCTGGCAGAGACTCGGTAGGATATCGTGGATTCTGTTCACTTAAGTGAAAAACAGGTTTGTTTGTTTTTTATATAATCAGAAATTGAAAAAATGAAATTGGAACTGTCTAGCCAAGACAGGTCTCAACTTTGGTGAAACTGTGAAACTAGAAAGTTTGAGTGTTTAAAACGGCATTGAGTGTTTATTGTGAATATTCTAATTCTGGAAATAGCAGTTGTAATCTTGAGTTAACTGTACTTGTGTGTATGGGGCGCCTGGGTGGCTCAGTCCATTAAACTGTACTAGTGTGCGTCATTGGCAGCCTAGCCACTTTTATTGGGTATTAGCTGAAGATAGGAGGGTTGAAGGGAAATGCTCATTTTTCAGCAGTATAAGATAAGAGAAGATACTTAAAATAGCTAGCTAGCAGTGATGGTGTGTTTAAATGTTATTTTTGAGGGGCACCTGGGTGGCTTAGTGGGTTAAGCATCCAACCCTTGATTTTGGCTCCTGTCATGATCTCAGGGTCTTGAGATCAAGCCCCAACATAGGGCCTGTCCAAGATTCTCTCTTTCCCTTTGCTTTTCAGCTGCTCACATGCACTAGTGCATGATCCTCACCCTCCCCCACCCCACCGTCTCTCTCAAAGAAAAAAGTTGTTTTTGAGATTTTTATATAGACTTTTTACTTCAAAAATACAATTTTAACTATAAAGGAGTAGTCTTAATCTGTAACAGGACATCAAAAAATTAAATTAAAATTTGATTGCAGTGTGGTGAGAATCATACTAAGGGTGGAAAGTCTGGTTGGTTATACACAATGAAAGGACTGCTCACCGTGGCCAAAAATGTACCAGCTGCCATTGTTGGTGTAGAGTAAATAGTGAAACTCCTAATGGGGTTTCCTGGAACTCTATTCAGCTGTAACTAAAGCTGTCTGTACTGAGAACATTTAATTGTATGTGAAGTTCAGATAACTAAACTGACTCCCAAATGTATAACAAGACAAAACTCTCTACGACATAATAGCATCTGTGAGGGGGGAAAAAAACCTCATTATGGGTGCCATGAAACCTTTTGATTAAAATGAGATGAAGATAAATAAGATTATATTGGCTGCCATCAATGTAAAACTAAATTTACTTCTCGGTAATTGGACTTTGCGAATGCTTCAGCCTTTTTCTTCATAATCTGTATACTTATTTTTGTGTAACTTCTTTAATTCCTTTTTCATATTTTGTTATGTAAGGAGAATTAATCATAACAAAAGTTTAAAGTTTTAAAATGTGGTCTAAGGCACAGTTTGTTTTTATTGTAGTTGTGAATTAATCATTTGAAGAATCAGGTTGATTTTATTTCCTGGTGGTATTTTTGGGAGTGTTCTCCTTATTGGCATAGAGTCATTGAATTCTCATTTGGTGTAAGTTCCTACAAGATACCGTAGGCAATTATTAGAACTATAAATTAGCACCCCTCCCCCCACTGAAGAAGTTTATTTCTTATTATATATGTATGGTCCATTGTGTACCTATGTGCTTTAACAGTTTCAGTAGAAAATAATAGAAAAGCAAATTGATCCCTTGTTACTTTATGCTCTAAGGCAGTTTTGTGACAATACAGGTCTTATTAATGACCAGTTCAGCAGTCTGCAGTGTTGGAAGACTGGATCCAATGTGCTTAGAGGAGGGATGTTGGGAATTATGAGTTAGTTATCTGTCAAAAAAGATATGTAAGTGATGAATCACTAAATTCTACTCCTGAATCATTATTACACTATATGTTAACTAACTTGGATTTAAATAAAATTTTAAAAAAAAATTTAAAGATAAAAAGTTCTGTGAAATAATCAGCTTTCTAGAATAATCTTTTAAAATAAGGGTGAAATGATCCATCATACTCTCTGCCTAGATTTTTCCTGCATAGGTATTGCTTGTCTAGCCTTCCCTCATTCTTCAGGTCTCAATTTACTGCTTCCTCTAGGAAGCCCTCTTTAAATCTCCTCCTCATACCTGTGCCTTCTCCCAAATCTGGCTTAGCTGCCTCTTCTAGGTATTTCTCCTATCTTTGTTTGCACTTAGTATACTTGTTATTGTTTATTTGTTTGTCTTCCATCATAGACTGAAATCTCCCTAAGGGCACAATCCTGCCTTGCTTACCACTGTAGCCTAGCACTCAGCAAAATACCTAGCCCTTAAGCAGCCCTCTCAAAAATATTTGATAATTACATGTCATGAAACTTTGTTAACCTTCTTTTATGGTCTCATCAGAGTAAGCATATTGGGTCAGGTACTGCTGTTTTAGGCACCAGTTCAATTGTGCTGCTGTTTCATCTTTCAAGCGTATGTGACCAAATTTTACATAATATTTGGTTAAAATATTCAAGTATTTCATTGTTTGGGTGTACAGACAACAGGCACTCAGAATCATGCTTTCTTTGATTTCATAATGTTAAGAGGAAGAGATTAGAGAAGAAATATAGTTCTTTATTTGTATATTGGTGTCTTGGACATGTTCATTCAGGAAGTATTTACTGATCTCTAATCAAGTATTTGCTGATCTTCAGGATGCTGTGCTAGATGCTTTGGGAGATTCAAAGACACATTATGCATGGATCCTCTCTCCAAGTTGCTTATAGTCTGATAGAGGAGACTGTACAGAAATATAACAGAAAGAAGAAAACAATAGGTGACATAGAGGTATAATGACCATCCCAAAGAAGATGCTTAAATATTTATCTACTAAATTTCTCATCTATTGATAGATAAAGTTAACCTATTTGTATTTCTTTGTTCTCTTTCTTAATATATATAGCTTTCATTTGCTTTTTCACCTCATGGAAGTATTGGTCTAGGACTCTTAATTCTCGTTGATTGAAAATACTAGTTCACTTAATATGAATTTCAAACAAGTATTGTCTACATAACCAGGTATCAAGGCATGAGTAGGAAAAATGGGTATGAAACACTGAAATAAAACGAGAAAGGAGTAGAGAATAAAGAGGGAAAAAATAAAATAATAATGACTTAGACTAAAACAGAAAAATAATAGTTTTACAGAAAAGTTTTATTCTAGAGACCAATGATTGACTTGCACAGAATTATGCAAGTGATTAACACTCCCTTTTCTTTAAAAGAAATTTTTTTATAGTTTATTTATTTTTGAGACAGAGAGAGACAGAGTATGAATGGGGAAGGGGCAGAGAGAGAGGGAGACACAGAATCCGAAACAGGCTCCAGGCTCTGAGCTCTCAGCATAGAGTCTGACGCAGGGCTCAAACCCACGAACCATGAGATCTGACCTGAGCCGAAGTCTGACAGTTAACCAACTGAGCCACTCAGGTGCCCCGACCACTCACTTTTCTTATGAATTAAGCCACTCAGTGTCTTCACACTTCAGCTTCCCCATCTGTTGGACCCAGTAAGTGTTTTTCAAACTGCAGGTCATATCCTACTAATGGATTGTGAAATCCATTTAGTGGATCACTATGAACACTTTTTAAATGATTAGAATAGCATTGAAAATATCAGGGTGCATCACACATAGAGAAGGTCGTCAGTGTTTTTGTGAAACTCTGTGAGTAGTGGATTATAATTTAAAATATAGTCCTAAATGTTAAGGAAGAAAAAGTTGGCTCTTAATAAATATTTAAAAGGAATATATTTGAAAAGTGTGGAGGAAAGAGAGGTAGCCAGTTTAAAATAGGAATACTCCCAAATAGCCCACATGGCTTGTGGCAATCTACTATTTATCCCAGAAGTACTATTACAGATCTGTTTTCTATATTTTTACACGTAGATATTCTGTTTTAACACCATTACATTTACTGGTCTATAGAACACTCTTTTCAAATACTAACCAACCTATATTATAGAAATATCACTTTTCTAATGTGGGCCCAAATGAATATATTCAACATGAATTCCCTAACAAATGACCTCATTATTCTTCATCCATTGTTGCTATGTAGTCACTGCCTCTGTGTGCAGTCTAACAAAGCATGAGTCCTATGGGTAGGAAAGAAATTTGTTCTGCAGGTGCTTAAGACAGTGTGTGTGTGTGTGTGTGTGTGTGTGTAAAATAAAAAATTATATTTTAAAATTTAAAATTTTAAAAAAAAAAAAATTTTTTAAGAGAGTGTCCACATGCATGCGTCCATATGGGAAAGGGACAGAGGAAGAGGGAGAGAGAGAATCTCATGCAGATTCCATGCCCAGAAAGGAGCCATGAGATCATGACCTGACCCGAAATTGGAAGCTGGATGCTTAGCCAACTGAGCCACCCAGGTGCCCCTGGGTAGTTTTAAAATTCATAAAGATATGAGATTTGTGAGAGAGAAACTGTGTGCATGTCAAATCTGAACATCAACAATCAACAGCACTGCAAAAATTAGAAATCTGATATACTATCAATGTGGTACTCTTTAAAGTCATGTCATTTTACTGAGCCCTAGACCTGATAGAATGTTTTTAATAAGTGCGTGGGTTAAGTATATAAATACATTACCCGAAAAATAGCTTCGTTAAATAAAGTACTTATAAGAGGCTCTATTTCTGTGACTTTTGATATTCTTTTCAATGTATTCCTTTATAGCCATATCAGCTCTGGATTATGCTCAGACATAGAAATGCCATAGGGAAGCGAACACTGGAATGGAGAATAGAACAAAGGGATTCTACCTACTTTTAAAAGTTTATTAATTATACATTATTAAAGTTGATTAAATAAAGGGATCTTAGTCTTTATGAAAGGAAAATTGTAAAATAAACAGACCTCCTAGTCATAGGTAAAATAATACACTGTTGACCTAATTTTATTTAGCCTGATTAAGTAAATTTTAGGATAAGTTCAGAAATCATTGGAAGGTATTTTTAGTTAGTTTTCTTTAAAGTTAAATGTACATTGACTTGTATTTCTTAGAAAAGTCTATTACTGAACTAGTACAGAATGTGAATAATTTCTTGTCTGAAATATAAGATTGATTACAGGGCAGTTGTCCAGAATCTTCCTGCTGAACTGGAAAGTACTTCACTTTTTTTCACTGTAGGTCCTTTTAACTCTACAAATGTGTTATTTAAA